GGGAGAAGATAGAGGCATAATGTTCTTCAAAAACTGTATGGCAATAAAGTCTCTGTATAATGACATTTTGTAGTCAAGTGACATCGGTGAAATTATCAGCAGCTGTAGATAAACCATGTTTCACGACCAACTACTGGAGGCACTTGCATGTCACTTTGTTCACTACCTCATATGGCACTTTTTGCAATCAGATACTTTATTATCACCAGTTTCATAATTACTAAAACAAGAGTTTACTTCTGAAAGACTTTTATCCACACAAGACAAAATTGGCATCATATCACCATTAATTGCTTGACTGTGTGCCTGCTTTATATAAGACTTTTTAAAACCAAACAGTACACATTTACCCTTTAGGTGACAACTGATATTTGTGCCAAAGCAGGAAACTAACAGCATTCAGAGTGACTCCTCCCTGAAAGCTGAAGCTGTACACAGAACTCCGGCCACAAAAACCTAAGTGCAAGAACAAGGTGGTCTGTTTTGGTATCTTTGATTACTATTATGGTCAAGGCCTGTAATAGGCTGTAGAACCCATGATGATGATGATGATGACTATTACTACCTGTTGATTAATAAGAGACCAAGTAGGATTTGAGGTTTTCACAGTGATGAGTTTGAAGATGGCTGCCTTCTGGGTTGTGTCTGGTAAAAGTTTACCTACATTTGAGGTGTCCTTGCTGCCTCCATCATCAAGGCCATGAGTGAGGGAGGGATTTCCCTCATGATGGAGGCACCAAAGACCTGAAACAATGCTAGACTTCTACCAGAGAACCCAGAAGACAGCCATCTTAAGAAGAGGCTAATTTGTCTGCTTGGTTACCCAGAATTATTGTTATCCTTTTGATCTATGGGAAGAGGGTAGTTTCTCCCCTCTCTCCCCCAGAAATTCTGTTACTGCCCGTTGATTTATAGGAGAAGGGCAGTCCTTTTATTTGGATGATCAGAGTAACTGTTACTGGTCATAGATTCATTCAGTCGTCATAATATTGTTTTCTTTGCAGAGGCAAAGGAGCGCAGTGGTTCTGGTGATTCCTCAGGAGAAGAGGACTCTGATGAAGAAGATGAGGCAAGCAGGTCACAGCAAGATGCATCAGCTCATGATGAGGTAAGCTTCTTTTGTTTGATTCTGATGCTTCTCACTAATTGTAGGCATGTTCCCACAACACTATGTGACATTTTGTGTATTTTCTCATTCAGGTTGGTATCAGTTATTTTTGTCATTTTTATTGTTATTTGATTAATTCTTTTCTTTGAATATAGCTTGGATTCTTAGTCCAAATATACCCTGAACAAGTAACACTTTGTAATAATTTTCTGCTCAATATTTATTTCATTTTAAAAACCATAATCTTCACATGGGCCACCACCATATGATCAGAAGTAAACAGATGTATGATATCAGTTTAGACAGTAGCGATTTTTTAAGATGGCCTGTTTTCAGATGTATTGCTCTTTCAATACGCAGTTGGCTTTGAGAACACTGTTTTAGGAAGGTGTGAGACAATCTGGTGGCATTTTTCTTTGGGGGAAATGTCTGCTTTAAGTACTTATACAAAAATTCACATTTTTACCACAAACATATTGTAAAATATTTGTGAATGTTTTTAATGAAAACTACTGCTTTTTATTGTGGAAGTAAAAATTACATTGAAGACAAGCGAATAGGCATGTTAACTTTAAAGTTTAATTGTTTTCTTACAGTCAAAATTTTATGGGATGTCTGAAGATCACAAACAGTAGGCATCATATTCAGTACTGTCTGCGGCTGCTGTAGATCTGTTCACCAAAAGAAGATAACATTTTTTAATCTGTAAGGCTGTAAGGTAACTTTATTTATTTAGTAGTTTTGTAATGTGGCTTTGCAATATTACACTTATCAGATGTGTCCTGAGATGTGTATTCTCTTAAATCAGATAAATGCTAGGTCCGTCATTTTTGGTTATTAAAGGGATGGATGTCACATAGATGGTAATTGCGATATCAGTTCTCTTTGTGGAATGTGCTGTTTCATAAAAATATTGTAGACAGCCAACACGTGAAGAGTTTATAATTTTCATGCAGTGCAAATGAAGAAGAATTGTCATGAGACTTGATCAGTATTGCTAATATAAACAATAGTAAACTTACATAAAAGAAACAGCATAATTGTGTTTCATGCAAAGTCTTCTGTGTATAGGTCCATGTCAAAACATTGGTAATTTTTACTGTCTGTACACAGAAGACTATACAAAGAACATTAACCACCATGAAAACCTCAAGTCTCATTATAACTGTGGATGCTGGCCTGCATAATATTGCCTGCAAGTGCCCTTAAAGTGAAGAAAGAATTGTATTTAAAGAAAATTTCACTGAATCTCTCTATGTTGGGATAATTCCTTTGGAAGTGGTTGTATATAAATTGAAGTATAAAGGCAAAGTGAGTAATATGTGTATATATGTAGACCAAGGGTCAGAATCCCCCCCCCCCAATAATAATATGCAAGATATGGGCAGAAACACTGGGTTAGTAGATTATGGGATTGTGAACGGTTGAGTTTGCATTCAGTCAGTGTTCACTTTACACTTCGCTTGACATGGACAGTACAGTGACTAGATATACAAAGCAGATATATAATATAGAAACAAGAACATGGAAACCTGCTAGTCGTTCCATTATATTTTGTGTATTTTCACAGTTTCCTCGTAGACATGGGGTTTCTGTCATGTTGTAATATGAATACTTCTTTTGTTGGCAATATTTTATAAAATATACATATCAGGATATCATGTTGATTTTCTGTTGCCTATTTAACTTTTACATGTTAATTGAGAAATCCCTGTGCACCTACTGGTACTGTAAACAGTTTTAATTGCCTAAGTTACAGAAAATTTTGGATATGAAATGCTTGTGCCATTACAATCTGAGGAATGATGCTTCGGTGCCCTCTTTAAATCAAAAGAGAGTGTTATAATTGACCTTTCACTTTGCACCTTTCATTGTAAATCACATAGAATGGGAGATCATGTGACACTGGAGGTCAAGCATCCTTTAAATTTATTTTGTCACTGAAACTATTATGTAATAAAATGCCATGCCATGGAGATATTAGCTATATATGCAGTAGCATCCTCATGTTGGAAGTAGGCACAAATAATTTTATCTTTGTTTAACTATCAAACAGGTGGAATAATGCTCTACAAAAGAATACTGCATTGGCAAATGCCGAGCAAATAATTTTCACTGAACTTAAACAGCTAGAATAATGAAGTAGTGTCTTCTTATCTGTACCTATTCAAGTTCACATTGATTCCACAATCTGTCAGTAGGTTGGTAAAAAAATCTTCTGGTAAAGAAAATAATGTATAGATTAATCCATTGTACTTTAATGGAGGTAAACATGGTGATCCATGGCCATTATTGTTATGAATTGAACAAACAACTTGTGCTGGCATATTGGCGTGAGCTGCTGAAAAGTTCTACTGAGTGAGGAAAACTAATGGCACAGCATATATTAACAGTGTAATAGAAAACTAAAAATGACAGAGCACCACAATAAATACTTAATATACAAAATTAATCACAGATATTGTGTAGCATAGTTGATTGTTGTTAAAATGTTTTGCTTCAGGATTATCTTGGCACAGCACCTGTCTTTAATATTTTGAAGACAGATCACTTGTGAACTGTATCAAATGTTTTATGGCAGGGAAGCTCCAGGGATGAAGTGCCTTCCATGTAGATTTGCAAATGCATTCTGCTAATCCCCACAATCAGCTATGCAATAAAACATTTCAAAACATAATTTTGCTACAGGACTTGTGAGTTGGAAGTAAATAATATATGTTATATGGGTCTTTATATTTTGTACATCAGCTGTTGGTGCCCCTGTTTTGTATTACCTTGTGCTGTGTATCTAATATTTTAGCAGGAAGGAGGCTTTATTGTACTTATGCTCCCAATATGCAATAAAAATAGGATTCTTGTTATCATACGTGAACCTCTGAATTGTAAACAAGTTAAATATTGTCTTATGAAGCAGATTGATTTGGTAACGCTGTAGGCTCTTATTCAGACGTGTGTATAGAAAGACGTGGAGCTCCTTTCCATGGGGCCACACCACAAAGGTGTCGTCCATGTATCCATACCAATGGACCAGCTTCTTTGTGGTGGAACCTAAGGCTCATTGCCCAAAGTTTTTCATATAGAAATTGGCCATTAAAAGTGCAAGGGGTTATCCCATGGCAACACCGTCTGACTGGTCATAAAGTGTCCCATTATAAAAAAATACATAGTGGTTAGGACATGTCTGATGAGAGCAATGGTGGTCCCTGCAAATGTGGTAAAGTCTATGTTGGGTAAACTGGCAGAACCATTAACACCAGATGTAAAGAACACAAGAGACACACATGTCTTGGTCAACCAGATAAGTCCACTATGGCAGAACATAGCATCGAAGCAGGACACAACATTGACTTTAACATCATCACAATAATGGGCTCTGGAGGCTGCACTTTGGGCCTGACCTGGTGCCTGATAACAAAAATGCTCAAGCAGTCCAGTCAAATCACCAATAATTCATTACCATAGTTTTCAGTGGCATTTGATTGTCAAATAACCAGAGAAGCATGAAGGGATATTTTGTTGTTCATGTGTCAGCACTGCTATGGGGTCATTTTTAGTATTGTACCTACCATATATAGCTGAAATACTGGTGGAGGATTACAGTTGGCTTAAAGTAAGTCCTTCATAATGCACAAGTGTTCATATACAGATGCTAAAGTAGCTGGGCCCCATAACTACATGCAAGGAAGAATTGTGATGGGAACAAGAGAACAGGAAGAAAGCTTTTATTAGGCATAGTGTGCTAAGAGGGGACTAGTTTTGAACAGCGCATAACAGTCAAGCCACCATTATTGGCTTTTCAGTGTTGGGATTCTGTAACCAAATACATTTCCTGATGTCTGCCATTCCAACATAAAAAACATACATTTCTCTATTTAAGAAAATAATATAAGGCTTACCCCTGCATAATTTATACTTTTATTACACAGCAAAAGTGTATGCATATCACATTTTAATATTAAATGATCAAGAACTCCATATTTAAATTCAAAATTTCAGCTGGAAACATGGGACTTCAAGTGTCTTGCCAACATATTCCTGTTGCTTTGTTCTTGAGGATGTCCTTTTCCTTTTGTGTGAGAAAAGTAGAAGAACAAGAAACCTATCATGTTGTTCAGGCGTCAAGGAAATGTTCAGTTCTAATGCTGATGCAAGTATTGCTGAGCATCCCGGAAGATCTCCCTGGGCACCTGCAGAAAAGTGACATTATTATTATTATTTCTACTACTACTACTACTACTGTTCTGTATTCTGGATGCCCAAGATCCAAATCTCAGCCTGCAAACAGGCTTTCTCTGTCCCTCCAGGCAATGCTGGAATAGTACCTTAGATTAGGCAGTGACTGCTTCCATCCTTTTCTGTTCATTATTCATTAATCCTATTATACTACACTATATAATCTCAGATACTGACAGCATTATGATATAAATCCTAAATAAAAAAATTATTTACTGCCATCCCACCAAAGTTGATATGGCCACTGTATTGGTAGCATTGATGGAGAAATTTAGAAAGTACAAAGGTAGATTGACCTGTAGCAGCGTGGTGTTCAAATGAGGTTTCATGAAAATCCTTCAGTTGGTTCATAGGTTATTAGGTGTAATAGACACATGTACATGATATCACATGCTTATCTTTCTTTTAAAACAGTGTCTCCTTTAAAACAACCTGGGGCCACATTAAATTCACTATATCCTGATACTATCAGACTAATTAATTTAAATGCTTCTGTTTTCAGCATTAAAAATGTGGCTGGATACATTTAATTTCATCATCTACAATATAAGGCACAGCAAAGAAAGAAATGATTCATAACACTTTTATTACAGAATACTTGGGGAATATAATGCTGAGAAGTTTTATATTAAATTAATCAAATTTAAAAATACAACAATAGTTTAATCAGTATGTCAGGTTTCCTTCAGTGACTTGCGGACTGTTTGGATAGTTTTATCATTACACACTCATGAATTAAACAAAACTATGCTAAATTAACCTCGTTGAGAACATACTGTATTTGATAAAGTCACACAGCCAACAAAAGGTGATCCCCCAAACTTCTACAAAGTTAGCTATGTATCCAATATCTTTGTGAATTATAGCCAGCAACTTACACTTGTAATCAAAGAATTCCCTCAGTATGTGTCTGTAATCTTGCCTTCTTTCATACTTAAGTGTCACTTCCAGCAACCTTTGCACTGTTTCAACTTTTCCTTGCCTCAATGCAGTCACAGCTATTACTTTTATTCTGTCCATTATTATTGTTCTCAGTTCTTGATACTTTTCTAGAAGTTCACTGGCCATTTTCTGATCACAGAACCACTCACTTAAGAAGCAAAACTGCCACAGATATGACAAAAAATAATAATCTCCACATTCTTCAGCAAATTTCTTTGCAAAATTTGTAACCAAAACTACTGATGCTTCACTTCTGTTGGAAATGCATTCTGCAAACAAGAATTTAGTCATATTCCTAACTTTTCTGCGGAGAGAGGCATGATGCTTATATACAAATGCAAACATGTCCAGAGCCTCATTCACATTACCACTCACCCATGAGGCTTCTGCCACATAATGGCTGTATTCTGCTTGATTGTAGAATTCATTCTTATTTAAAAGCTCACATACTGACTTAACAACATGCACTCCAGCTTTGTTACCAGTCCTTGAAAATATACTTGCAGCTTCCAGTAACAGATCTGGAGAAGGGCAGTATTTCTGTCTTGCAGAATAATTTAATATTGGTATTATATGATTATATTCTTTTGAACGTATAACTTTTGTGATTAATTCATCTATATCATTAACATCTACATCAGTTCTGTTGGACTGAGAACTGTCTTGTAGTTTCTGTTCGTCAATGTCACTTGCACTTCTTTCAATTTCACACTGTATAGTTTTCTGTATATTATGATGTTTCCATTTGTAGGCCTTCTTTTGTACTAGTTCATCGATAAAACTGTCCAGGCAGTCCGAAGTCGCATTTATCGACGTTCTCTCAACACATATATTTGAAAGAGGCCTTTTATGCTTCCACATAGCATGAACGATCCGAAGCGAGTTACAGCTGTAATGTCGGCTAATCACGCTGACCATTTAAAAAGGTTCCGACAATTCACACGTCTGCAAGAGCTGTTAGCATGAAGCTTTTTGGGCGAGTTTCGTCAACCTGCGAAGTTCACTAAACACTCCACCAACCAGAAATACTAGTGCTGTTTTATTTCATACCATTCGTGACGGAAATATCTCTTAGGCATTCATACTGCAGAAAATCAAGGAAGAAATAAACAATGGACGTGCGTAGACCGCATGGTCGTCCTCATGTCCAAGGATTATCGGAGATTGTCAATTATTAACTTCTGGATAGCAAACTCGTGTAATCTTTGTAATTGCTGTCTTATAAGCAATACTCAATAAGCAGTTTTTGTTTGTGACCTATTCGCTCCTAGCGCCATGGAATCGAATCGTAAATAAAAATGTAATGGTGGCCCTATTTTGTTTGCTGTTTTTAAGTCCCATAAAAGAATTTCGTTAACAAAAAGTTGTATATTTTCTGAAGATGCAATACCACAGTCCTAGTGCCATATGTGAATACGTCGTGCTATTGCTTTCAATGATTCTCTGTCGTAAACTGTGTTGGGATAGAATATATTTTCGTAGAAATTAATTTGCACATGCCACACTTCATGAACGCGGTCCGCGCGACTCTTGTTGAATATCTGTGGTATCAGGCACAGTTTTTAACAAGCCCGTCGGACATGGCGGCCAGTGAGGTGAAGGAGTGTCACGTGGATAATTTTGTCTGTAAATTTGTCTGCAATGGTATGTGTTTAATCGTGCCCTATGTATGTTCCAGCTCACTAAAGCACTGCGAGATCTGCCTATGCGAAT